TGGATCTCTTCGGCGGGTCGCCTCGCCCATCCTCGGCATCCGTGTCCAGGTCGATGCGGTGGGAGCGCGGCACCCTGCGGCGAGGCGACGTGATGTCGATCATCGCAGGTGGCAGCCGTCGGTATGTCAGGGCTGCGGGGTTTGTGGATTTCAGGTTTTCTGACAACCCGCACGTTCCAGAATGCTGGATTGTCGCGGACTGTTGCAGTCAGCACGCGTCCGACCCGAATTTGTGGATTGCCAATGGGCCCATGCATCTCGTCTCACCAGATCACATTGATGACGTTCATTTGATTCTGCTGGCGGGCGAATACTTTCGCCCAGTACTGAAAGACTTTTGAATTCAGACTGCAGCACTGGCCAAGGCCCAGCGCCCGATGATGATGACGTCATGGGTTTCGGTGGTTTCCAATGGGATCGAACGGGTGAGCCTTGGTTGTGATCATGGGCGGGTGGCCTGGGCCTGGCTGTTGCTACCATCGGCAACTTCGCTGCATCTTGCGAGTGCACGCGTTTGGCGTGCGCGCGTCGCTCGGCCTTCCGACCCTCGCCGCAGTCAGCACCAGGGCGCACCGCGGCCACCAAAAGCACTGATAAGGGCGGTGGCGAGGAGGATAGAGGGGCATGATGATGAGGAGGACGGCGTGGAGGATGATGAGGATGAGAATGGGCGGGGGGGGGAGTAGTATAGGGGGGGAAGGACGAGGGGGATTAAGGGGGAAGAGGAGAGCGTCGATTGGGGGAATGGGGGAGGTGCGAGGAGGATGAAATAAGGAAACCAGGATGTGCAGTCAACCCGCGGAGTAAGGATGAGTTTTTTTTTTTTTTTTTTTTTTTTTTTTTTTTTTTTTTTTTTTTTTTTTTTTTTTTTTTTTTTTTTTTTTTTTTTTTTTTTTTTTCCTGGGTTACCCTTGCATCCTTGCCCCTTCGGCCCATCCCTGGCAACTTTCGCTGGCCGCTCCGCTCGAAAAAAACGTCAATATGGCTTTCCAAGGCCCTTGCTTCCTTATCGTTCATCCTTATTTCGCGGGTTGACTGTGGCTCGTCACCAGAGATCGCGCGCCGATTTGTTTCTCTGCAGATGGCTGCCACTCTCGCTGTCGGCCGCCCTCGCCGCCAGCCGCCCGGCAGCGGCGTCGGCGAGAGGGGCGGGGGGCCCCCTCACATATCATCCCTCCTCTCTCATCCCCTCTTCTCCCTCACATATCCCCCCTCCCCTCTCCTCCCTTACATATCCTCCCATCCCCTCTCATCCCCCCCCCCGTTCCACATCCGCAATGGTCCAACATGATATACGCATCCACATACTTCTGGCCCGTGGGATCTGTTCGGGGTTGCCACGCGCTGCAACACTCAGAACGCACGCGCGCGGGGGATGTGATATGCATGATGTAGAACGTTAGACAATACAGCATGAGTAGCGCATGGCAGCCACTCGACACAAATACCCAGATTCGAATACAGTCAACCCGCGGAGTAAGGATGCGCATTTTTTCCTAGGTGACCCTTGCATCCTTGCCCATTCGGCCCGTCCGCGCAACGTTCGCTGGCCGCTCCGCCCGAAAAAAACGTCAATGTGGCTTTCCAAGGCCCTTGCATCCTTATAGTTCGTTCTTACTCCGCGGGTTGATTGTGCCAAGTGTAAGGCATTCTTCCGCTCAACTGTCGGTGTTGCGTGACTGCCGCTCCCTACCGTAGGCTCTATTGTGCTCGAGGCCGCGCCAACAGGTGAGGATGGAGAGGTGGGAATCCTGTTTCGGCCCCCCCGTGTTCGGCCCGATCGCCGTGACGCGACACCCGCTCCCAGTAGGGACGATCACGGCAGCGCAGGCGCAATGGATCTGGCGGCAGACTTGGTGCAAAGCTTGCGTCAGAGATCGCGGCCGAGGGGGCGGGCGCGAGATTGTGGTCACGGGCCGATCGAGTCTCTTGCAGTATGGGTACAATGAGTGCCTCCAGTTCGTGAGTTCAAACGGGCCCGCTGGTGGCAGGCAGGTCCGCGACTTTCAGGTGTCCAAGGTTGCCCCCAGGTCGGTCCCAATGCCAGACACCTTCTTGGGCACGGGCCTCGAGTGGGAGAGCTACTTCGACGGTGGGAACTTGGAAATGACCGACCGCTGGGACCCCCTCGTGCCCGTGACCATCCTGCGCGAAGGAGCCCTGCCGCGGGCGGGGGGGTGGGGGCGGGGTCAACCCTTTCGTTCCTGGAATGGTAGGGTGATGAGAGAGCCATTGGAAAAGAGGAGGGTGGATAAGGGGAGGTGGAGGGAGGCGGGGGGGCGAGGTGGGCGAGGAGGAAGAGGAGGGACGGGGATGATAGGGACATGGAGGATGACGAGGGTGTCGAGAGGGATCTCTCTCTCTCTCTCTCTCTCTCTCTCTCTCTCTCACACTTCCCATTCAAGCAATCTCTAGAACAGAAGTCCTTCTGAAAATCCCACCACCCCCTTCTTCCCCTTTGGGGAGGGGTTTACCCCCCCCTACCCCCTCCCCTGGACCTGGAGGGGGCCGTCGCGAGGTGCCAGAGCGTCCTTTTTGACCCAAGATGGCCCCAATACGGCCTCAGAGAGCCCAAGATTGCCTCCAAGATCGCTCAAGATAGCCCAACATGGTCCAAGATAGCTAACGACATGCTTCCAAGAGGCGCCAAGACCGCCTCAAGACGGCTTCAAGAGGCCAAGGAGCCTCCCAAGGAAGTCCTGGAGAGGCCAAACAGATTCAAAAACCTTAGACCAACCAATGTGTTTTGCCTTCTCGCCTTTTCGCTTCCGATGGGCTCTTGAAGCCTCGAGATGGCTCCAAGATGGCCCAAGGCGGCCCCAAGAGAGGCACACGAGTGGCCCAAGACGGCCCCAAGAGCGCCCGAGAGCGCCCCAAGAAGGCCCCAAGAGGGCCCCAATAGGCGATTTTTCAGGCACCGAGGAAGGGGGGTGGGGGGAAATAAGCGCAGCCTTATGTTTTCATCGATGGCCTCCAAGATGGCCCAAGAGAGGCCCAAGAGGGCCCCCAGAGGGCCCCAAGACGGCCCCAAGAGCGCCCAAGAGAGCCCCAGGAGCGCCCCAAGAGGGTCCGAAGAGGGGCGCGTGAGGGGCCAAGAGGCCGCCAACATGTCCTCAAGAGGGCCCTATGATGGCCCCAAGAGGCCTACAACACGCTCCCAGCTCTCGATACTTACTGCACTTCGCTAGAGTGGCTGTTTTAGGATGGGCTGGTGGGGATTCGCGAAGCGTAAACAATTTGCTCTGTGCGGGGAGTCGAGAGGGAGTGTGGAGGAGGAGCAGCACGGCCCCGCCGCCTGCGCAGGAGCTCATCATCTCGAGGATGATGCTGCCGACGGTGCCGCCGCTGATGTACCTGCCCAGGCCCGCCGCCGTCGTCGTCGGCCGCGCCGCTGCCGCGCTGGTCTCGTGGGGGGGGGAGGGGGGGGGGGGGGGGGGGGGGGGGGGATGAGGGGGGGGAGGGGGAGGAGGAGGACCAGAGTGAACTCAGGATCCATCAACGATGGCGCAATGCACCCCCCCGTCTCACGTTCCCTCCTCATAAGTCCGCACAAGCTTTTTTTCACAGCCAGAAGCGCCCGCTTGAAAGAAGGGCGCCCCGTGGGAGGAGGAGGAGGAGGAGTTGGCGTCGTCGTCGTCGTCGTCGCCACCGCCGCCGCCGTCGTCGCCGTCGTCGTCGTCGTCGCGAAGGCGTCGTCGTCGGCGACGGCGGCACCGTCGCCCTCCCGCGCGCGCGGAGCCCCCCCCCCCCGCTTGCCGCTGCAGGCGGCGGAGGAGGCGGACGAGACGAAGTCGAGCACGGCCCAATCCTCGGGTGCCGCGCGCCCGCCCCGCTGCGCCGTCGTCGCGTTACCTCCCTCGTCGTCGTCGACGCCCCTCAGTCGGGAGTACAGTCAACCCGCGGAGTACGGATGAGCAACTTTTCCTAGGTCACCCTTGCATCCTTGCCCCTTCGGCCCATCCCCGGCAAATTTCGCTGGCCATCCCTGGCAATTTTCGCTGGCCAAGGCCCTTGCATCCTTATCGTTCATCCTTACTCCGCGGGTTGACTGTAGCTCTTTCGGTCACAGCGGCCCCCATCACGACCACCTCCTCCTCCTCTAGGGGGGCCAAAAAAATGGGAAAGAAAAATCACATAAACAAGTTGGCCACAATCCTGTGGCTGGACGTCTTGTTTTTTGCACTGTTTGGCCCCCCTGGGCCCCACATCGACACCAAAAGGTTTAGTTTATCGTGCTTTTGGCCACCCGATCCTCATCCCTTCCATCTTTGTCCCCTCTCCTCCTCATCTTCCCTTCTTCCCCCTTCTCCTCATCCTCCTCTTTCGGATCCGCCTCCTCCCCCATCCGCCTCATCCCCTCCTCCGTGCTCCTCCGTGCTCCTCCCTATCTCCAGGGTGTATCTCCAGGTATCTCCAATATATCTCCAGGTATCCTCAGGGCATCTCAAGGTATCTACAGGGTATCTCAAGGTATCTCAAGGTGTCCTCAGGTATTTCCAATATATCTCCAGGTATATCCAGGGCATTCTCGTCCGAGCTTCCCCGCGCTCCCCCGACGCATGCCGAAAACCCGGAGCTCGGGCGCATTCGGCCCGAAACCCTTGGGACCCCATCTCCGGAGGTTGGGCTCGTTCGCCCCTCCCTCAGGGCCCCGAAAACCCGGAGTTCGGAGGGCGTGCCCGACGGGGGCGCGGCGCGCGGCAATCTCAGCCGTCCCCGTTGGCAGACGCGGGGGGCTCCCCCTTCGGGCGCGCCCCTAGGGGGATGGGGGCGCGGGGAGAATGCGGGGGAGGAGGAAGAGGGGGAGGAGGAGGAGGAGGAGCATAACCGCCCCCTTTAATCCATGGCATCTGCCATCCACTTTCATTCATGGAGTTCATGGCTGCTGTCATCTCAAGCATTGAGTGCGCCTGCTGTCGCGGCCCCCTGCCCGCGCCGCGGGCTATCCTCGGTCGACCCGAGCGATGGCCTCCAAAGCCGCTGGCTTCACCGCTGCTCAGGACGCCTTGGTGGCAGTCGAACCCTCCGCGGCCCCGATGGCTGGTGAGGACTACGGGGCGTGCTTCTTGTGCTGCCAGAGCATCGGCAATGAGTCGGAGCTGATGGTGATCAAGGAGGGCTCGGAGAGCGTCGCGCGCGTGGTTTGCCACAAGAAGTGCAACAGCCTCAAGAAGCGCGTGCAGTCGCTCCGCGCTGGCAACTCGGACTTCGAGGCTTTCGGGGAGATCGAGGGAGCCGCTCGCGCTGCGTTCTACGCGAACGCCGCCAACAAGTACGGCGCCGACCTCGCGCAGCACATGGCCGAGACCATGGAGGCGAAGCTCACTGAGCAGCACGAGGCCAATTTTCTGCTTCTTTTTTAATTTTTTTTCTTTCTTTTCTTTTTTTTTTTCCTGAGCAGCACGAGGCCAATTTCAAAGAAAGCGGCGACTTCGTGGAGATCGGCGAGGCCCGTCAGCTGGCCCAGTTCAAGAACAACCCCGAGGCGTTCGATCGCCTGTTGGAGCGGGCGCCCAGGAAGAAGTGCGAGTGGACGGATATCGAGTACGTGTACATCCCCACGTACCGCTTCGAGCAGAATAAGCGGCTGCTGAACGAGAACATCAGGGCGAGGACCATCAGCGGGGAGAAGAAGCTCAAGCGGCCCAAGGCCTTGGCAGCGCCTCCGATGAAGAGGCTGAAGGAGCCGACCGCGGGCCCCGCGCTCCCGAAGGGCATCCTGAACAAGTGCGACAAGATGGAGGGCCGCCTGACCGAGCACATCATGCAGGCGGCCGAGACCCTCGCGCTGGCGCATAGCCCTCAGGCTCAGGGCTACGTGGGGCCTCGCCCACTCGAGGTCGCCGACGCTTCCAACAAGAAGTTAGAGACCTACCTGGCTGAGCTGAAGAACCTTCGCGCGTGCGATGGCACGACGAAGGAGATCCTCGAGGCGAAGATCGAACACGGCAATGCCATGCTCAACGCGCACATCGACATCATCACCAAGATTGAAGGCTCGGGGGGAGGACGTGGAGGCGGAGGAGGATGAGGGGGAGGAAAAGGAGGAGGTGTTTTGGGGATGAGAACTGGGCAAGGAGGAGGAGGAGGATACAGGTAACAGGAGGATGAGGAGGAGGAGGAGGAGGAGGAGGAGGAGGCGTGGTCAATAAGTCCACATGTGGACATCTTGGACAGCTAACATGATGAGGAGGAGGATGGAGGATGGGGGAGGGGGGCCAGCGCTGCAGGCGCACTGGAGGACGTGGCGCAGGAAGTCTTGGTCTCCCAGGCGCTCGATGAGGCTGGCACAGAGGGAGCGGCCGATGCGAGGGGCCTAAAGTGCCGCGAGCCGCCGATGGCTCACGAGGCCACCGAATCCGTTTCCGATGATGAGTTTGATGGTTGGATGTGGTCCGACGTCAGAAATGACGGGGTGGTGGCCGACGGCGGCTCGGATGGGGGCAGTGAGTGTGGGTCTGGATCCGCCCGCTCTCATGGCAGTCTCTCGGCCTCGACCCTCGAGCTCGATCGGTCGGCTAAGGTCGAGGGCAGCCAGGGCGCGGCATCTGCGAACGAGGGCGGTGGCGCTGACATGTCGCCTGGCAAGAGGGTCAAGATCACACCGAAGAGGGCCGCCGCGGAGGCGGGCCGCCCCAAGGGCAGGGGCAAGGGCAAGGGCAAGGGTAAGAGCAAGGCAAAGGCCAAGGGCAAGGCGAAGGCGAGGGCGCGCGGGGGCATGGCTTGAGCTTAGGCTGCGGGCAGGCACGGTTGCCCAGTGCACGGTGCATCGCGATTTGAGGGCCTCTATCTTTCGGAGGCACGAGCTTTCGGAGGCACGCTACTGTTGTTCAGTGCACGGTGCCTCTAGATTACGGCGGCGGTGCTCGCACCCAGCGTAGCCGATACAAGTAACCTAGGGCGCTCGCGCCCGACCCTTGCGGTCCGCAAGGAAGCTAGACAGCCGAGAAACACATGCAGCCATGCATCATACAACTGCGACGTTCGTCACCAACGCCATCGCCACCATCGCATCGGTCTCACATTCCAAACACGCATAACTGATAACCATTGCATCATCAAGGTATCCCGAGAGTATCTCGCATGGTCTATCGCAGGGTATCTCGCAGGGTATCTCGAGGTATCTCGCCTGGTATCTCGCAGGGTATCTCGCAGGGTATCTCGAGGGTATCTCGCATGGATGTCTCGGGTATCTCGCGTATCTCGCGGTGCGCCTCCCGAGGTATCTCGCAGGGTATCCCGCGGGTATCTCGCATGGTCTATCACAGGGTATCTCGCAGGGTATCTCGAGGTATCTCGCCGCGCGCCCCCCCCCCCCCGCTTGCGCGGGCGTCGTTGCGCCCGAAAGGCACTCGAGGCATGATCACGACGACGACGGGACAAGCTCACAGTCGGGTACAAACTTATCACCCCCTCCCCCCCTCCCCCCCTCCCTCCCTCCACCCCCCCCATCTCGGTGCATCCCGCTGTCGCCATCGCGGTCCACAATGTTGCCCTCTCTTGCGGCAGCGATGAAGTCCCACCAGCCCTTTCGGGCGTGAGTGGTTTAGCGAGCCCATCTTCCCTTCTTCCAACCCCCTTCTTCCCCTTCGGGGAGGGGTTGTTTGGTTTTCGTGGTCTTGTCTTTTTTTTGTTGGTTTGGGGGTGTTGTTGTGGGTTGTTTTTTTGGTTTTTACTTTGTTTGTGGGTGTTTTGTTGTTTGGTTTGTTGTTTTTTTGTTTTTTGGTTGTTGTTTTGTTTTGGTTTCTTTTTTGGTGTTTCTTGTTGTTTGTTGGGTGTTTTTTTGTGTTTTTTTTGACCCTCCCCCTACCCCCTCACTGGACCTGGAGGGGGGGGGGGAGGGGGGGGGGTCGCGAGCGGTCAGAGCGCCCAAGATGGCCCTAGATGGCTCCAAGACGGCATCAGAGAGCCCAAGATGGCCTCCAAGATCGCTCAATATAGCCCAACATGGCTCAAGATAGCTAACGACATGCTTCCAAGAGGCGCCAAGACCGCCTCAAGACGGCTTCAAGAGGCCAAGGAGCCTCCCAAGGAAGCCCTGGAGAGGCCAAAATCCTTCAACAACTGGAACACCCAATGTTGTTTGCATTCTCGTCTTTTCGCTTCCGATGGGCTCTTGAAGCCTCAAGATGGCTCCAAGATGGCCCAAGACGGCCCCAAGGGAGGCCCAAGAGCGGCCCAAGACGGCCCCAAGAGCGCCCAAGAGCGCCCCAAGAAGGCCCCAAGAGGGGCCCAAGAGGCGAGTTGTCGGGCCCCGAGGGGGCGATTGAAATAAGTGCTCCCGTCTCTGTTGCTCGATGGCCTCCAAGATGGCCTAGGAGAGGCCCAAGAGGGGCCCCCGAGGGCTCCAAGACGGCCCCAAGAGCGCCCAAGGGAGCCCCAAGAGCGCCCCATGAGGGCCCGAAGAGAGGCCCAACAGAGTCCCAGAGGCCTCCAACATGTCCTGAAGAGGGCCCCATGATGGCCCCAAGAGGCCTACAAGACGCTCCCAGCTCTCGAAACTTACTGCACTTCGCTAGATTGGCTGTTTTAGGATGGGCTGGTGGGGATTCGCGAAGCGTAAACAATTTTCGCCATGTCCGAGCGGCTCAGGGTGCCCTCCCCCTCCACCATGCCCGCCTCCATTGCCCCTGCAGCAAACGATCGGCACTTCCCGTTTCTATTCCCCCCCCCATCCGCGGATTATTTCCTCTGCGCATCGACTCGGCGCTCTTGGGGGACTCCACACCCTCCATTCATCACCTCTACAATCACCACTCATCACCTCCCTCCACTCATCACCCCCCTCCACTCATCACCTCCCTCCACGCATCACCTCCCTTACGCCGCCGCTGCCTCGATTCACATCCCTCCACTCATCGCGTGCCTTGCCCCCTCCCCCATGGGCCTCCCCGCCACCATTCGACCCCGTCTCTCTCGGCATGTCTCCAAACAATCGGGCTCCTGCCTGCCGCGGCCGCGCCACCGCGTGGAAGCCGACGGCCAGGGGGAAGTCCCTCGCGCGGGCGGGGCGACTGAGAGGGAGGGGGAGGGGGTATGCGGAGGGCGGCGGGGCAAGTCCATGATTTCGACCCGATGCAGGGGAGCGGATTTCGGCATCTATGCCGAAGTCCGTTCCTCACGGATTTCCTCGTTCTCTGCATTGCAGTCAACCCGCGGTGTAAGGATGGTGTTTTTTCCTTAGGTTACCCTTGCATCGAGGCCCCTTCGGTCCATCCCTGGCAACTTTCGCTGGCCGCTCCGCTCGAAAAAACGTCAACGTGGCTTTCCAAGGCCCTTGCGTCCTTATCGTTCAGCCTTACTCCGCGGGTTGACTGCGCGGTGGTGGGCGGGGCAGGGGGTGGGGGCGGGGCGGGCAGCACGCAGCCACAACCTAGAGTTAAGTGTTTGCAATTTTCTAAGGGTGCCCATGCATCCTGACCGTGTATCATTCGACACAACACCCACCACCGCCGAGAAGTGCCGATATGGCTTTCCAAGGCCCTTGCATCCTTATCGAGTTTGACTGTACGCTGCCCATCTTAATCGGTCACCTTGGCCCCCTTGGGGCCCTTGCTGGGAGAAGGCGGGCGCTGCGTCGCCCGCAACAACAGCCATCCTCACCGCCCGCGGCCTGGCAAACACGATAGGAACCCACCCGTGATATGCCTCTCCCATCGGGGACTCGTGTCGGAGGGGGCGGGGCCGCACCTGTTTCGGCTCAAGCGTTCGAGGCCGCGCCCAGGCGCAACGAGTGCAGCCAGTCCGACCTTGCGCAGTGGCCAACACTGAGGAATGGGAATTCATCTACCACACCGCGGGTGTCAGGAGGGAGGGAGGGACGAGGGGGGGGGGCGTGGTAGATAAATTTCCCTCCCCATGGGGAGGGGAAATTCATCTACCACCCCAGGAGGGAGGGAGGGGGGGGACGAGGAGGGGGCGGTGGAGGTAGATAAATGCCCCTTTCTTAAGCACCGCGGCCAACGCCGCCATGGCGATGAGCGAGAGCTCGCAGCCAACGGATCTCTCGGCCGCTGCGCTGACGGAGGATACCGCGGGGACGGCGGGGACTGCGGATCCGCCTACGGAGACGGGCGGTGTGGTGGATCTCGCCGATGACAGTCCAGCCACATCAGAACTCGGCCCAGCAGAGGAAGAACCCGCAGCAGCAGCTGCAGAACCACCAGCCCACGTGCTGACCCAGTCGGAGGCGATTGAGGTGCCAGCTGTGCCGATCATTGCGCGCAAGAAGGAGCTCACCTACTCGTTCGACACGCGCGAGAGCATCAGCAGGGGCCCCAGCGCGAGCGCCGTGTTCGGTGTTCTGGATGCCCGCGGCGCGTCGGTCGCCCCTATGCGGCGCGTCAAGGCGAAGTTCTCCATTACTTACAAGATCGACGAGGAGTGGGTCGCGCTTGACGAGTCTGGGCCCCCTGGTGAGTGACGCGCCCGCTGCCTGACCAGGTAGCTTTCGCAACGGCCCCACTCGTGGGGCGACGAGATCTATACATATCCACCGCTCCGCCAGGCCCTTCCTGGCACCAGGAGTGTGTATGCTTCCCTGGCTTCGCCAGGAGGGCGCATTGCATACGCCGCTCCTGGGCGCAGGATGGGCCTGGCGAGGGGCGGTGGATATGTATAGATATCGTCGCCCTAACTCGTGCCAGCAAGCCGTTAGCCTCGGATATTCGGAGGCTCGCCCCTAAAAAGGAGCAGGCATGTGCGTATGGGGCCCCGAATGATGGGTCACCTCCCTCATCGGTCCTCGGCCCTCCTCCTGGGGCCTCTCGAGGCCCAGCCGCCAGGGGTGGGCCCACCCTTCGGCGGCGTCGCGGGCGGGGCGCGCCCGCACGGCCGCGGCGCGGCCAAGCCTCCTCCACCCCCTCATCTTCCTCGCCCTCGACGAGAACGACAACTACGATAACGACGGCGAGCGGCGACGACGTGTGGCGACTGTGACGACGCCGAAAGAGGTGGCGACGAGGATGGCGACAGCTACTACGGCGACCAAGACGACGACTGCGACGACGATTGCGACGACGACGCCGACGACCACTACGACCACTACGACGACCGTGAGGGCGGCGACGAAGACGGCGACGGCCACGCCGACCCACACGGCCACGGCGTCTCACCCAGACGCGCCCGCCGCTCCCTTGCCGCGCCTGCCAGGCGCCTGAGATCGTGGACAGCACGATGAGCATGATGACGACGGTCGGTGCGACCTCCGCCGCGCCGCTGAGCAGGGACGGGCCCGCGTGCAGCCTCTGCTATTGCAAGTGTGGAGGGATGGGGAGGAGGAAGAAGGGAAATGATGAGAAGGATCACGGCGAGGATGCGGAGGGTGAGGATGAGGGGGGAAAGGGACGGGCGGGCGTGGATGAGGAAGTGGAGGAGGAGGAGGAGGAGGAGGAGGAGGATGAGGAGACTTATGATGAGGCAAGCTGGAGGGCGAGGAGGAGAGGAGGAGGGGGAGGATGTGGTCTGTGGGAGGAGTAGGGGGTGGACCATAGGTACATGATGAAGGTCGGGGTGCGGAGGATGAGGGCGGACGGTGGGGTGGTCTGCTTCCTCCGTCGACCGACCCCGCTCCGAACCCGCCACCCTTCCCCATCGCCCTCCAACCTCCTCCGAGCCCCTCTCATGATCTCCCCCTGCTTAGCCCTGTGGTGGGTGGGGGGTGGAGGGAGGGAGGGATGGCGATGCAACGTTCACGCGCCTTGTGATTATGCGGGGTTGGCTAAGCTC